GGATCGAGGGGCCCGGCCTGCCTGCGAATTGCTCCATGGTCATGGAGACCTTTCGCGACCAGGACGGCAGAGAAACGGGTAAACGCCCCTGCCCCATCACGAACATCCCTTTTCTAGGCCAGGGGTTCCCGTACACCAGCTACCACCCGCAGGTGCCCGCACGCAGGGACAAGTGCGTTCAGTGGTCTTTCACGCCTGTCTTCGACGAGGTCTCACCCGCGGTGGCGGAGGTCTTGGACAGCGCGAAGAATGACAAGGCGATGTTCCCGTTCAGAGTGAACTCCGACACGGGGTCCGCTTCGTGGAGCTGGTCTGGGGCCCCGCCGTCGAAACAGAAGCCAGTCCAGTTCGAGAAGTTCGACCCCCAGCGAGAGATGTTCAAACGTGGAGCACACATGCCCTTGATGATCTACGTGGGCGGGCCTGCTGACGTGCGGCGGACTGCGCAAGCGCAGGCGAAGCGGGCGGCTAACGCGGACAGGCGCGGTTGGACCTGGGAAAGGAGGCAGTCCACGCAGGGCGCAAGAGGAAAGGGGAAAGAGCATGGGCAGCAGAAAGGCGCGGGCGCCTACGGCCGCGGTGGCGGCGAGCCGCGCGACAATCGCGGCAAGGGAGGGAAATGGGGTGCGCGAGGTCAGGGTCAGCAAGCTCCCTGGACAGGCTGGTGGTCGTGAAAATCATCCCTTGGTGACCCGCAGTGGCGGGGAGTAGGGGGCGCTAGGGCGAGGTGCGGCGACGGTGATTCGCTTCTTATAAGACGCAGCGATCTCTTTGCGGTGAGAGAAAATGCATCGAGGGTATCTGATGTCACCCAGGACGCGGCGACAACACAGGGCAGGGCATGTGATGTCACCCAGGAGTGGCGGCGACAACACAGGGCAGGGCATGTGATGTCACCCAAGATGGCTTGTTTCAGACAATATAAAGTTTCAGTTTATTTGGGGAAATGGATTACATAAAACATTGCGGATTAGAGCCACAGGAGAAGGGCAATCTATAGGAACACGCGTAAAACACCAAGGACTCGTGCCCCAGGAGAGGCCCAATACATAGGTACATGAGTAAAACATCTAGGATTGCGTACACAGGAGAAGGACCATCTATAGAAACATACGTAGGACATCAACGAATCGTGCTCCAGGTGAGGCCCAATCGATAGGAGCATACGTAAAACACATGGGATTGGAGCCACCCCTGTTGCCTTCTGAGGCCTCCTGCTCCTGGGGCCTCTCGGGGCCTCCTGTTGCCTTCCGAGGCCTCCTGGCGCTTCCTGTTGTCTCCTGGGGTCTCCTGTGGTTTCCTGAGGCCTTCTGGAGCTTCCTGGGGCCTCCTGGAGCCTCTTGGGACATCCTGTGGCCTCTTGAGTCTTTCTGTGGCCTCCTGATGCCTCCTGGGACCTCATGTGGTCTCCTGGAGGCCTCCTGGAGCCTGTTGGAGCCTCCTGTGGCATCCTGAGAAGAATCTGCGCCCACGAGCCTGGCCACCAAAACTAGCAAACCGATCGAGACATCCTCAAAATCTGGCCACCTGGGGGGTGAAAGTGAACGCCTCGCTCGAGACATCCTCCAAATCTGCTCCGAAAACGAAGGATGTTGGGCACAGAAACAGGCAAACCGCCTGAGACATCCCCACAAAATGGCCGCGAACGAGCCCGTGCAACCACCCCTGGCGGCTCCCCTTAGGGGTGCTGAGTATGAGTAAGTCTGTGTATGAGTAAGTCTGTGTATGTGTACGTCTGGGTATGACTAATACTGTGTATGAGTAAGTCTGTGTATGAGTAAGTCTGTATATGAGTATGTCTGAGTGTGAGTAAGTCTGAGTATGAGTAGGTCTGAGTATGAGTAAGTCTGAGTATGAGTAAGTCTGTGTATGAGCAAGTCTGAGTATGTCCGACAGGAGGGGAGGAGAAAAGAGGAGGAGGAAGGAGGAGGAGTAGGAGGCGTCCAAGTAATAACAAGAACCCCATCTTAGGATATGGGGAAAAGAAGAAGAGAAAGAAGAAGAAGACGAAGAAGAAGAAGAAGAATAATAAGAAGAAGAAGACGAAGAAGAAGAGGAGGAGGAGGAGGAGGAGGAGGAGGGGGGGGGGAAGAAGAAAACATCTGCCTGGCATCGGCGCCACAACATCGCAGAGACGCAGCGGCGACGGGCCCCCGGACCGCGGAACCGCCCGCCCACTGGGCGAGGCGGGCCGGCGGGCTCCTCATCGGCGATCCATGGGCGACAGCGGGCCGATCTCCTCCTCCTCCTCCTCCCCCTCCTCCTCCTCCCTCCTCCTCCTCCTCCTCCTCCCCCTTCCCCTCCTCTCCTCCTCCTCCTCCTCCTCCTCCTCCTCCTCCTCCTCCTCCTCCTCCTCCTCCTCCTCCTCCTCCTCCTCCTCCTCCCTCCTCCTCCCCTCCTCCTCTCCTCCTCCTCCTCCTCCTCCCTCCTCCTCCTCCTCCTCCTCCTCCTCCCTCCTCCTCCTCCTCCCTCCTCCTCCTCCCTCCTCCTCCTCCTCCTCCTCCTCCTCCTCCTATCTGCTTTAAGCGCCTCCCTACTTCAATGATCGATTGGCTTCGCCTTTTCCATCTTCCTTAGGGGGCGGACAGAACCCAATCTACTTTCAACGCCTTCCTACTTCATGGAGTGTTTCCTCATTGCTTGGGGCATGACGGGCGTCATGGCCCCCGGCCCTCCCCCCTATGACGTAACGCCCCCCCCCCCCCTCAGTGCGCTCTGGGCACTGCCGCCGTGCGCATCGGGATCCGCAGAGGTGTCCGCATAGGAATCCGCATAAGAGTATTGTCCACAGTCGTCGTCGTCGTCGTCGTTGTCGTCGTCGTCGTCGTCGTCGTTGTTGTCGTCGTCGTCGTCGTCGTCGCTTGTCGCTCGTCGCTCGTCGCTTATCGTCGTCGTGCGCGCGGGCGTGGCTGGATCCTTTTCTTGCAAAAAAAAGCAAAAAACATTCCGGGCCGATGGCGGCAATCATCTGGGGGGGTGGGGGGGGGCCGGTGACTTCACGTTTCGCGCCGGCGGCGTCTGGGAATGCCTAGGAATGACCGAGGACGGGTAGCAACAGCATGTAGGTGGCGATCTGCACCACAGCGCCTGTGTACACCACAGCAGCCGCGTGCAACACATCGCCAGCGTGTGCCACAGTGCTTGCGGGCACCACAGCGCTTGTGTACACCACAGCGCCTGCGTACACCACGCCAGCCGTGTGCAACACAGCAACAGTGTACACCACAATGACTGCGTGCACTACAGCGCTTGTGTACACCACGGCGCCTGTGTGCACCACGACAACCGTGTGCAACAGAGCACCACCTGTTGCATATATAATTTGAATACGAAGCCGTATGACATAATGCAATCGTTGTATATAGGATGTGGGAGGGAATCCTTATGGAAGAAGGAGCGCCGCTGGAATCTACGAGTCCTTCCGAATCCGCCCGCATCATCTTCTCCCATTTGCGTCCAGGTGGTTCCACAAACAAAGTGGCCGTCCGAGATCCAGTAGACTTGATTCCGTGGACCATTTTGCGGTGCACGCTGAGATGCGCACGTGCGCTGTAGCGCCAACCCGCACGACAGGGGGGGAAGGGTGAGGGAGAAGGGGAAGGGGGAGGAGGAGGAGGAGGAGGAGGAGGAGGAGAAGGAGGAGGAGGAGGAGGTGGAGGCGGCGGAGGAGGGAGGACGGAAGAACGTCGCATTCTATGATCAGCTCTTTCCTGGCGTGGCTTTTAGTTGTCCGCAGCAGATCCTGTCCTACATGCCCTTTCTACCTGTCCTGTGCACGCAGGCGCTGCGGTGTACCAGCGCTGGGCTGCACGCGGATGCTGTTGTGTAGACAGGCGCTGTGGTGTGCGCAGGCGCTGCTGTGCACGCGTGCGTTGTGGTGTACACAAACGCTGCGTTGCACATGGTTGCTGCGGTGTACACATTCGCTGTGGTGTACACCGGCACTCTGGTGCACGCAAGCACTGTGGTGTACACAGGCGCTGCGTTGCACACGGCTGTTGCGGTGTACGCAGGCGCTGTGGTGTACACGCACTCTGTGGTGCACGCGAGCATTGTGGTGTACATGGCGCTGTGGAGCAGATCGCCACCTACATGCTGCTCGCGTCGTCGTCGTCGTCGCTCGTCGCTCGTCGCTCGTCGCTCATCGTCTTCGTGCGCGCGTGCGCGGCTGTGGTGCCGGAGCCACACAGAGGGGGGGGGCGTTACGTCATACCCCCCCCACTGCGCCCGTCATCGCCGAGAATAAAGAAACGCTTGTATGTTTTGACTTACTTTTTTCCGACCGATGACCGATGGGTATCATGTATGAACATAGACTTTCGGAGGTCCACACGGATTTCTTTGATCGGCGTTGGGCCCGCCAGGGGCGGCGCCTCCGGCGCCGCCCTTGGCGGGCCCGGCGCCGCCTCAGGGGCTCCGCGCGCGGGGGCCTCCGAGGGTGTATGTTTAAGCCGCTGTGTCTCCCGCCTCCGAGGGGCCCCGTCTTTCCCGCCCCCGCCCGCGGCCGCCCTGTCCGTCCTCTTCCTCCTGCTGCCTGCTGGCCACTTCGGTCTTCGGTGCCCCCGTTCAGCTCCATTCGGGCCGGACGAAAGGAGGGGATTGGGAAAGGGGGGGCTACGAAATTTGCTGCATGCAGCTAGTTTCGGCCCCACCGAGGGGCCCATTCCTCGATACATGGGCGCCTCCAGCGCCGGGAGGCGCCGGGAAAATCAGCTACGTGAGCTGATTCTCAATCCCCCCCTTTGCTATCCCCCCCTTTCGCCCGACCCGATCCATCGCCGGTGCTGCCATCCTGCCTCGCCGCCGACGACTTGTTTTTGTCGAGCGGCTGTGGCAGGGCTGGACCTGCACGCCGGTGTGCCGGATCTCGGCCGTGCTTTGCTTTTCGTGTTGAGAGCGAGGTACAAGACAACAGGTCGAGCAGAACGAAAAATCGCACGAACACAGCGAAAAACAACGTTTCGGTCCAGCCCTGAGCTGTGACCTCTCCAGCCCTGCAGGACGATGGACCTCTTCGACGAGACCCTCGGCCAGCAGTTCGACCGCCCCCCGCACGACGAGGGCAAGGCGCCTCCGCACCGGCTCCTCTTGGGAGGAGAAGACACACACACAAGCACAAACATACACACAAAAGCACACATGAACGTCGGCCTCCAGGAAAAGATATGGAAGATATGGGAGGTGGATGGGGAAAGGCGACAGTCCGGAAAATGTGCAGGCACACTTGCGAGGATTCCTGGGACATGTGTCTTTTTCCCAACCATCCTGTGGTGTTGGGTCCTCGTTTTGAAGAGACTATCCCCGCGTCTCCTCCTCCTCCTCCTCCTCCTCCTCCTCCTCCTCCTCCCGGTGCTCCCCTCCACATGCGTCCGCCACACCCAGTGCAGCGCTTCGTGGCCGCATAGGGAGCTCCACGTAAGGCCCCAGTGGGGGTACCACATGCGTCCGCCACACCCAGTGCAGCGTTTCGCTCCACGTAAGGCCCCAGTGGGGGTACCACATGCGTCCGCCACACCCAGTACAGCGCTTCGTGGCCCCATAGGGAGGGAGCTCCACGTAAGGCCCAAGTGGGGGTACCACATGCGTCCGCCACACCCAGTACACCTTTTCATGGCCCCATAGGGAGCCCCACCCACCCAAGGCCTCAGTTGGGGTGGCCACAAGCGTCCGCCACACCCAGCACAGCGCGTCGTGGCCGCATAGGGAGCTCCACCTCAGGGCCCTGTGGGGGTGGCCACATGTGTCCGCCACACCCAGTACAGCGCTTCGTGGCCCCATAAGGAGCTCCATCGGAGGCCCCAGTTGGGGTGGCCACATGCGTCCACCACACCCAGTACAGCGTTTCGTGGCCAGTGGGACCGTCCGCATGCGTCCCGCACGCCCAATTGGCATTTTCACCCACCCAGTGCAGCGCTTCGTGGCCCCATACGGAGCTCCACCGAAGCCCCCAGTGGAACCACCCGCATGCGTTCCGCACACGCAATTTGGCATTTTCACCCACCCAGTACAGCGCTTCGTGGCCCCAATAGAGAGCTCCACCGAAGCCCCCAGTGAACCGCCCACAAGCGTCCCACACACCTGATTTGGCATTTTCACCCACCCAGTACAGCGTTTCGTGGCCCCATAAGAAGATCCACTGAAGCCCCCGGTGGGACCGTCCGCATGCGTCCCGCACGCCCAATTTGGCATTTTCACCCATCCAGTATAGCGCTTCGTGGCCCCATAGGGAGCTCCACCGAAGCCCTCCGTGGGACCGTCCGCATGCGTCCCGGAAACCCAATTTGGCATTTTCACCCACCCAGTCCAGCGCTTCGTGGCCCCATAGGGCTCCACCGAAGCCCCCAGTGGGACCGCCCGCATGCGTCCGGGAAGCCCAGTTTGGCATTCTCACCCACCCAGTGCAGCGCTTCGTGGCCCTTGGGGAGCTTCACCGAAGAAGATATTCACAATTGCGGTAATCACGACTACATATGGTTAGGTCTTTCACCAGGGTAATTTAATGTGCATGTTCCTGGGCCGCTTCAACCTGCTCCTCGCCCCTCTCCTCTTCTCTCCTCGCATAGCGCAGCCTGGGCTGGAGTTTCGCCCTTCCCCTCCACCTCCCATATATTCCAGATTCTCCTGGAGACCGACGTTCATTTGTGCTTTTGCGTGTATGTTTGTGTTTATGTGTGTGTGTGTGTGTGTGTGTGTGTGTGTGTGTGTGTGACTCTTCTCCTCCCTTATTTGCATATCCGTGGGCCCCTTTGACCTGCTCCTCGCCCCTCTCCTCTTTTTCTTTCCTCGCACGGCGCAGCCAGGGCTGGAGAGAGGCGCCCGTCTCCAGGGCTGCGCGGCGCGGAGTGCGGAGATGATCCGCGAAGCTGTCGGAGCAGTACAAAGGGAGCAGGCGAAAAAGACAGACGCATATTGCACCAGAGAGAAGCCCCAACCAGTGGATGGTTTTCGCTGAAGAGATCGACCGGGAGCCCGCGAGCCCGGGCACCCAGAACCCACCGAAATCGGCCCAGAACCAATAACCGGGAACCCGGAACTGGGAACCCGGGAACCCAGCTTGCTACCAAAATCGGCGGGAAACTTTCGCCAAATCTTTCAACTTTCGCTAGGGCCCCTTCAGTGCAAGCACTGATTGGGGAATAAATCCCCGTGAAAATACTTGGAAATTTAGGGAGTGGAGGAGAAGACAAAGAGCCAGATAATATGGCGAACGATGTGGGATCCTGGGATTTGTGTTCATTGATGTGTGTAACTATGGGCCGCTGTAGGAAGAGCAGATCCACCCAGTCACCCAGTCGACCAGAATGAGGGACACAATCAGAGGAGGAGGAGGAGGAGGAGGAGGAGGAGGAGGAGGAGGAGGAGGAGGAGGAGGAGGAGGAGGAGGAGGAGGAGGAGGAGGAGGGGGGGAGAGGGCAGGAGGGATGAGGGGGCAGGACCCTGACAGGTCGTGAACATGAAGCTGTGCCCGCACGGTGCAGGGAACACTCCTCGCGGCAGGTTCTCGAGCGTGAGACGTGTCACCAGTCATGAAACGTTCACGCTGTGTTTCGGGCGAGGGCCCACGCACAGTGGCCCGGCGTCCCGACGACGTACGGCCCACCATCGAGTTCCCTAGCAACTGGGAGCGTCTCGAGCACATCCTGCATCGACTCGCTTACCGTCCAGAATCCGCAGACCCTTGGACTGTGCTCGGCCTCGGCCCCCTCGATGGCCCGGAACCCGAGGAGGTGGACATCTGCGCCCGCACGCGGGCGGCTCGCACGCTGTGTTCTCTCGCGCGAGACATGGCGTGGGAAGAGGGCGACCTTCGCAAGGCCCAGGCCGTCGATGCAACCTTCGTCGCTGCTGGTGCCAAGTGCGAGGAGCTGCTCGCAGAAGCCAGGCGTGCGCGCTGCCGCACCCGCCCAGCCAAACTCCCCCGGTGGAAGGAGCTGGGCCCATCTCGCCCCTGGCTACACACACTTCGTCACGCAATGGTCGCAGCTCTTGGATGCTACCACCGACCACTCGCAGACCATCCAGTCCCACCGGCAGCGCAGCGCTCTGTTGGAGCAGGGCGACGAGCAGGCCTTGCGGCTGCTTGCAGGTCAGAGGGTCCTCGCCTGGGCACCTGAGAGCAAAGATGCCCTAGGCAGGATCCACGCGCAGCTTCTCCGGTCCGAGCCCGACTGTGCACCAGAGGCCCTCTACCTCTTGGCGCCCGTGCCGCACTTCTATGGGGTCGACACCGCTGCCAAGCTCCTCGACCTCTGGACTCACCCCCTGTTAGGGGAGAGGTTCGCCGCCACAGTCAGGAAGGTCACGATCGTCGTGCAGCCACTGGAATACGTGCTTCCCGGCCCCCGTGGGCCGCGGCATGTCCGTCAAGGGCTCGCTTGCTTCCACCTGTCGCGGAGCGGGCCTCGCGCCGCCCCCAGCGTGGCTACCCCGCTCACACCCCTTCTGCAGGTGGAGGAGTACAACTCCTTCATCGTGGACGCGCACACGGACCACGTCCCCGAGATCATGCGAAAACTCGCCGACCCGCGCTACGCTGGCATCTTGGTGAGGCACCCGACGTGCAGCCCGAGCAGCACCGACGCCAGGAGCCGAGTTCGATTGGAGCTCATCTTCACTACGCGTCTCTCCGACATGGCCATGGAGATGCGCATGCGGGACATCAAGCGCCGCGTCCTGACGATCGACAGCTACATTGGCCTGAAGTCCTTGTACACAGACCCGAACGCGCTCATTCTTGAATGCTTCTCCCCGCTGGCCGTGGCAAAGGTCAGCTCGCTCTGCTCGCAGCTGATCTTCCTTACCAGCGATAGGGTCCTGCTCCTCACGGAGGCCTCGACGGAAACGTGGACGCAGTTGCTGAACGACGCGGCGAAAGAGGACGAGGCGCTCACAATTACGTGCCTCCGCTGGAAGGCTAGCAAGTATGGGGGACGCCATTTCGCCGCTATCGACGCTACTGCTAGCGCGCTTACGGCATCCCGCCGCCGGAGGAATCGCAGGGGGAAGCCGGCTACGATCGTCGACCACATCACCGAGCTTCGGATCAATGGCGAGATCGGCCATGACAGCAAGGGGGTCATCAGCAGACTGCTGCAGCACGCCTGCCACGACCAGGCTCTGGACCTCCATCCAGCGCAAGACGCGCACCGCCCACAGATTGGCACCCCCGGGGGGGCCCCCAAGAGTGGGGTCGGGCTGTTCAGCCCTCTGGCGCAGGCGGGGAGCGCTGGACCTCCGGGGCGACAAGCCCCCGCACCCGGTGGGATGGCCGCCAAAGCGCGGTCCCCTTCCCCCGGGGGGTCGCCGGGTGCGCTGCCCCCAGCACGGCCGGGACCCTCTCCCCGGTTCGCCGTGTTGGGGTCGTGCCTGGTGGCCCGTCCTCCCCGTCGTGTCGTCGCCGTCGCTGTCGTGTCGTCCGTCGTGTCGTGGCCCGTTGGGGCAGGCCTGGGGTACCTAGGAACCTACCGACTCCCTCCCTGGCCGTTGGCCCCCGCGAGGCCGTGCCCGCGGGGGTCGGGGGAGGGGGTTGGTGGGTGACGGTACCTGGGCCTGCCCGGCCAAGGTGTGAGCGCGCCGGCGGCGCCCCGGGCGCGGCCCGTGGGGCGCCCGCGCGCGCGGGCCAACCGTGGCCCCTCGTTCCTGCCCCTTGGGGACCGATGACGAAGCCCACAGATTGGCACTTGGGTGCACCTCTTGGACCTCAGCCCCACCGCCCCCCCAGGCCACGCGCGGGTGTACCTGGGCAGCAGCGCTGACGTTCGCAAAGTCTACCAGGCGTTGCATGGGCAGGTCCTCAAGATCGGCACCGACACGGTCTCCATCACTGTGCTGAACGACGCTCTGGAGGCCACTTCTATTTCGGGAAACGGGACGCGGGGGAGCTGAGGGGTAGCTCTCCCGCTGCGTCGACCTCCGCGTGCCCCGGCGCATCCATTGGAATTCAGATTTTTACTTGCAGCGGCACCTCCTACTGGATCTTGGACGTCGTTATCGCTCTCCGCTCCGCCGTCGCGGTGCCGAGTGCGACCTGCCGCGTCTCTCCCAGTTCTTGGGCGCCTACCTCCAAT